TGAAGTATAAGTAGTTTTATTAAATCTGACATGTAAACTGTGGTAGCTGAAGATAAGAATATGGGCTTTCTGTATGGAAATGAATCTCTAAGTAACTGGAGCCAAGCACCTGTAGTTGTATGTACACTTGTGCATGTAAAGTTTATCCAAAGGAAAAATGTTCAATAGTGGTTGTGAGAAGCCAAAGAAGTGCCCCTCCAGAGCACCAAGGCGAGCGCCAGGGGACCCAAAGCCCCAGATGCCCAAAGGGACCTCAAGAGCAAAGGCAGGAGGGGCCAACCCAGGAAATCTGACTCCCCACCAAGGGAGGAGGAGAGACGGCCCCGAGGAAAACCCCCAGCCACCGCAATTCCGAAGCCCACAGTAGCTGTGGGTACCAAAGTCGATCTGGCCATGGGCCAATCTCTGAAATATTTCACTAATTTTAAAAACAGGGGTCCTCACATTAGGACCAGTCTTTGATCCCCACAGGGCCTGTTGGTCCTCTAAAGGTTAGTAAATATACCAAAAACAGTCATAATAGGTAACATTAACAAGTACTGTACACACGTTTAGTAAGTTGCCTTTTCAATACTACATGTTTTGAGCAGCACATTCAAACTTTACCACTATATGAGCTAAAGGCTTGCACACCACCCCATTTTCTATGTTCCTGTTGCATTTACAGTAGCTGTACTGTATTACTAAATGTAGAGTATCTTTTTATTTATTATAACAATAATGTGCAGTTTAGGTTGAGCATGTCTTAGCTTTTAATTCTTTTTTTTTTTTTACATCTAGAAGCATTAGATACATTTCCATGATGTTTTCTTGGTCCAAGCAAAATGCAATATTTATACCAGCTGCTTGCATTAATCAATTGTTGACAAAAGTTATTGTTGTAACCTACAGTACTTTTAATAAAGGAAATATTTTGCTATTGGCAGAACCAGATGTTGAAGGATCTACTAAAAACATATACAAAAAAGAGACACAACAGAAAATATATTTACTATTCGCAAGGATTTATTCATAATATAGAAAGAAGTTAATTTATATGCTTTTATGTGTCTTTATTGGATCATAAGTAGAGCAATGATCAAAGAGGAGAAATAAAAAACAAAGGGCCTAGATACTGAACTCTCACACAACCATGCCCACACACTTTTCACCGGCCTCCAGCTATGTTTCATATACACGAGTACGGTATCTCATTGACATCTCTCCATTGACCTTGAATCTATAAAGATGTTAATGCTGCTTTGTTTCTAACAAAACAATCTTGAACACAGCTGTAGTCACAAAACCGAGTCATTCATTTCAAAGAAGCAGCTGTTTAGAGATTCAGAATGAAGAAAATGTTTACTTTGAGATAAGTGTCATGATGAAAATCCATAAAATGCACATACATAAAGTGCATGTCAAAATGGGGTTTTGATGAATCTGCAACAGAAGACGACACAAATCCCTTCTTGATCTGAGACAGATGTTTTTTTTATATATATATATATATCAAAGTGAGCAAAAGCCACAACAAATACCTATATGGCATATAGTGATGGAAAACATGAAATGTGCAAAAAAAATAAAATAAAATCCAGAATGCCTTTTTTGGCTCACACAAACAATTTAATAGGACCTTTTGTCAAGCAGGCTGAGTAAATTGAAACAGGCATCAATAAAGAGAAGAAACATCTACAAAGTGGCATTGATAACGACTGGAACAGCATTTTCATTTTGTGAAATCCAAAGAAGGCAGATGGATAAAAGGAGATAATAGCATGAGATTATAGCCTAATTTTACATTTGCATCTAAACACAGACAAGAAAACCTTAGGTGATCCCATCTCCTAAAACCAAAAGCCAACTGACAGATTATGTTTTCTGAAGGAGAAGTGTGGAGCTTGTGTTTGTGTTTCCACAACAGCTTAGAGTGTCATAAATTAATAGTTACTCGGTCTGTGACATGTAATTGCTGAGGGTTTTGACAGTACAAAAACAAAGACTGAATGGAATATTGACAGTAGAGTGATTATAGTGTTTTGATGAAACAAACACTTCTCCCCCTTATTTGCATCTGTAAATAATGGTTTTCACATTTTTTGCCAACCTACTCCATGCTTAAGAAGATGTAAAAGTATTGATTTCAAAGAAAGTGACTTATGACAGTTGGACTGAGAACAAAATCCCTATTAACAAGCAGTCCCCAACGTTTCCTCCTGCTTTGTTAAAAGAAGACATCCCTGACAGCTTTCACCTAATCACAAAAGATACTTTTAAATTCCCCTCACCTGTTTCATGTGGTTTAAATTCAGTTCTCCCTGAGCATTCAGTGCCAGATCATTTCTTGTCTTTCTGTCAGTCTGTTGTTTCAGTTTTAGTTCATGGTTCTCATCCTGGATCCTAGCAGCCAGTGGAAAGAGGGTTTTTGTGTCTGTCTCGTCTCCTGATCGTCCACTGTTCCTCCCCCGCGGAGTCCTCTGGGTTTTTGGCTCAATATGTGGGGAGGTTCAGTTTTTATCCAGTAAGCCTGGCTCCAGGGAGGAGACCAGTTTAAAGTCCTGCTTCAAGTTCCGGTTCTACGTCCTGTCTCGGCTACCCTCTTCCACTGAGCCTGCCTGTCTGCACCTGATCCTGTCTGCTCCTGTGAGTGACCACCTGGTCATGCTTCTGGTCCCAGTCAGACTCTGAACCCTCCTGGGAGCCTGTGGATGCCTGGAAGTCTGGATCCTGCCACCTGTTTCTGTTCCTGCCTGTTCTGTCTGTTCTGGATCCCTGACCAGGATCGGCTTCCAGTATGTCCTCTGGAACTGCAGCACTTGGGGACATTCTAGGACTGGACTATTAAACCAGGTAAGTGGCCAACTCAGATAATCATCTTCTGTCAGATGATCGTGGTCACTTACCTGTGTTTTTCCTGCAGAGTGTCTGTGATTGAGTGGTGCCCCGCTCCCCATCCTGCAGTGTCCGCAAGCCACAGCTCCGCTTTGTTTTGTTTAATAAATGTTTTGAACTTTCCTACTGACTGTCTCTCCTTGAATACTGTGTCCATCTGTCCACCTTTTATGACGGATTGTAGACAGTTTTTAAAGATAAAACCCCTACAAGTGTGGTGTGCATTTGTATTTAGACCAATCTAGTTTTCAGAATGTACTCAAATTAGTGTGCATTTTACTCCAATGCATTCTACTCCTATATTGTCACTCAACACAAACACCTTTGTCAGTCATCCTATGTTTGTTTTTTACACCATGCAGTTCTTCACCCTTTTTACTTCTTTGGAAGTGAGTGAATGCACCACTTACTGGCACGGTGTACATATTTTAACACCTATCACAGCTCCTCTGGCTTTACGTTGTTTAATCTTTAAGCTCAAACCATTACCAGAATTGCACATTTTAAGATTAGATTTTTTTCCCCCCAATTATTTTGCAGAAGCACATTCAGATTGGACTAAAACATTTCCAGTCTAGACTTTTGGCCACTCTAACATATGACTTTTTAAATCTAGGCTATTGCTCGCTCTCATTGCATTTAGATTTCTTTTATTTAATGTTGCCATTCAAATTCAGAATTTCAAGTGTTTTGAAGCCATAAACAGGTTCTCTTTCATGATAGTCTCATTTTTAGCTCCATCCATTTTTTCATTACCTCATCAAAGACACTGAACAACATGCTTTTGTATTGAAGAATATCTCGCATACACCATGATGTCACCAGTATACCTCCTGGAAGTTCCAACCGCTCTTCCATAAAGGCCAAATTTGTGGAGTGTCCCATTAATAACTGTCCTGTTCACCCACTATCCATCTGAGCTGCGAAATTTGTCTGCAGTTCTTCCTTCCTTCCATCTCCTGATCAGAGGGATTCTCTTTTGGTGGATTTTCCAGTATTTGAAATTGTTTTTTAACCAACCGTGGCTTAAACTTCTCCAAAGCTTTTTTACAGAATGTGCTCTTACAAACCTCTGAGTACTTTACAAACCAGCTGTACTTCTCAGATCAAATTGAACCCAATTTAACTCTACTAACCCGACAACTTCAACCAGTAGTTGGTAGAACTAGATCTTTTTAGTGTTTCATAGTAAACAGGACTTAAAGCTATAGTTGGCAATTTTGGAGCTGGCAAAATTTGCAGATGATGGCTCCACTTAGCATCACCCCCTCTTCCCTCTCCTGTAAATGCTCCATTTAAAGCCACACCCACCAAACTCGAATTTGCAGGCTCTGGGTACTTGGTCGGGTAACTGCCATTGACAGAATTGGTACAATGGTAGATGGATAACAGCAACAGGTGCACCTTAAATCCCATAACAGACTCAAACTAGAGTTAAAAAAAAACATTGTCTAGTGCCACAAAAACTTCAGTTTGATTAGCAACTGCAATATGAGAGTAAATTCTATGGAAGCTATCAACAAGAGGATAGTTCAGATATACCCTGGGATTAGCCATGTTCTGGCTAAAAATATAAGATGTCCTTTTCAAAATAACTTCAATATTTAGAACTTTCTTACCCAAATACATTAAGCCTCTATAGAAAAGACCAGTTTGTTGCAGTGGCAGTATCTATAACTTTTCTTCTAACATACGTGTGCACAACACCAATATCATTTCAGAGGACACCAACCTATGTAAAAACTCTGAAACTTGCGATGTGCTCTTATATTGTTAAAAATAGACTACCTTTGTTTACTTTACTTTTAGAGCCCTAGTTGAATTTTTTATTTTTTTTACATCCATGTTAGCAGGCCGCTTCTCATTCAACAACTCATTCAATTGTTTTTCTTTTTTGGTACCCCAAGGACACTTGGTGCCCTACACACATTGCATGATGTTGATTGGCGCTGAGCAAAAGCCCGGTTGCCTCTGAGTCAAGCCTGTATTGTGGCTTGTGTAATCGAGACTTAGGTCCTCTTTCCACGGACACTCTTATAGAACTCAATAGCTCCTGCATAAATCATTTAGATGCAAAAAAAAACAAACCACACACTTGATGTGTTTTTGTGTGTGTAAAAGCATACCTGTATTCTTCTTGAGTAAACACAGGAATAACAGATGGCTGAAGGACTGTGATTTCGACCAGAGTCGTACTCTCTTTCACAGGCTCACCATGATCATAGGCTACAACCACCAGCTGTTGGAAAACAGAGGGTGTTATTTCCATATAATACATGGGTACTTGCTACTGCTGCTGATCCTGTTTACACATACATTAGCAATTCACTATAATTTAGGATTTGCATAAACCAGGAGAGGCAAAAAGCTGCAAGGACCGGAAAGATGGTGGCGTTTTACTGTCTAAATCTTAACAGTAATTATTTTTTAATTGCAGATCCCTATGTGTATGTTTCCCTCTGTCATATCTGTTTTTCTGTGTGCTTAGTCTTAATTTAATTGGTGGTAGCTAATGTTAACAAGACCCAAAGGAGAAGGGCAAACTCTTAGAGAAATCAATATGAAGTCTATCAGTACTTGATCCAGTCAGAACTCAATGACTTTCAAAATGTGTTTTTCTATTAGTATACAGTGTTCTTAGATCATTAGCATTTAAGAAACGATGCACAACGATTTGGGGTTAGATGTTTTTCTTGGTCCCAGTTGATTTAAGCTGATTTCTATTTATAGTTCTCTCTTGCATGCTGCAGATGTGTTTACAGAAACCCAAAGCTATCACCTTTAGAGAAGTCATTGAGATTTAGCCACAGCTCTTTATGTTTTATTTTTTTGTCGTTATCCAAAACACAAACATGATGTTAAACATTAAGTTTAACTTAACAGGAGCAGGTACGGTTAAATTTATTACTCTTAAGGGGCATCTTTAGAGGTCATTTACCACGGCTTAAAGAGAGCTTGCACTATACTTATAGTGATTACGGAGTTTTAAAAAAGAGTGATTTAAAATAAGATACCATAAAGTACGGTAATAGACAGAAAAGTAGGTAAAATTAGCAAGTGATGATCAAAGTTTGTCTGATGTTGCACCACACTCAGGGGCATGTCAGAGTGCAAAGCAAAGTAAGACATAAACATATTAAACATAGTGTCTAGTGATAATATCTGAAGTAAAGAAAGCCTTCATGCTTTAATCTTCAAAAAGCAAGTCATGTCAAACTTTTAAGCCATTACCAGGATTTAAAAAGACATGACCCAAAAAGGCTTTTTTTATTATCTATTTGCTGCTTAATTTCTCTCACTCAATAAAAGCTAAAGTACTCATTGCACTATTACTCCACAGTTTGTCATTTCAATCCTAGACCAGCATAAAATACTGGATAACTTTAATGTGGAAATACTTAGCGTCATTGTCGTGTGGACTGTGACTCTCTCAAACCTTTAACAGGCACCAATAGTCAGCATTTATCTAATTTTTCGCTTTTTTAGAAAGGTTTCCCACATCATACTTTTTTTACTACCATATGATACTGCAGTTGCAATGTTTTCAATGGAAGTACATTTTCATCGTCTCATGTTTTTTTAAGTGGGAAAAGGAACAGCTTCTTTCAGGTTTACTAGGTTTTTTTATTTATTTTTTTTTTTTACAAAGATAAAGATCTGCAAGAAAGCTTCAAATTGCTTGATTTCCATGAGTAAAAGTTTTGCCAACCTACAATAAAGGCCATGTGAAGCACAGGAACATAAAGTCTACCACCTAGATCTCTGCAGCTCCTCTAGGATTGGCCTAGGTCAGAAGTTTTGAGATTTATACTTTACACATATAGCCTTTGTTTTCCGCTCTTAAACAAAATATGAATCTGGACAAATATAATGATAACATAAGGCAAAAAAAAAAATCCCAACTAGATTACCAATTGTTTCTGTACTAGGGCTTTATGTGCATATTTCTCTTCTCGAAATCTCAGTTCTAATATCTACAGATGTTCAAACTATTTGTTACTAAAGTGACAGTGAATATACTTACTCTGAACTTTAAGTTGGGTTCCTCGTTTAGATTCACTCTTGTAACCACATGACCTTTCTCTTCATCTACATCAAAAATACTGGCAGAGTACGGATATGCGTCCTGGTCCACCCTGTAGCGAACTAGACCTGCTGGGGTATTCTACAAAAACAGAAAACCAGAGCCCACATTATCTTTTTAGTTTCAAATCTAGATGGATTTTGCAGGAGAGGATGAGCAGCCTTTTATGTTTTTATAAAAAAAAAGAATTAATTATGGAAACATGAACTAGCATTAAAAGTGAAATGGCTTTAACAGTAGAGCTAAATGTCACGCAATCTTCTAATTTAAAAACTAATCATGGAAAATAAAGCGAAAATGCAATTCTGGAAACCAGGGGTTCAATAGTCATAAATTAACCTCTAACGTTTTGCTGCAAATAAGCAGCAATTAGAATGAGTAATTTTACACAAAATGGGAAAAAAAGGAATGTTTTACATATCTTCTGATATTGTTTTACTATACAAATGATACAATAATTTCTCTGTAGTTCACAAATCCAAACACACCAACGATAATAACCCAAAAGGTGGCATTTAATAAGCTCCCTGTTATTGCATCACATGCAGTCTGCTATTATTTACTTTGTCAGACAGTGCAAAGACGTGTGCAGACATTTTGGGGGTAATTTTCAATTGCTTGAAAATTGAAACTTAGAAAAGAAATTAAATGAATGAATTTAATGTGATTATATGGAACTGGAACAAATGTATTTAACTCTGTTTTGTTATCTTTACCAATCAGATGTTTAGTTGAGTATCATTTGGAAGGCAACATTTAGATTCACATTACAGAGAATTTCTCAATTTCTGACCAATCTTTTTTCTTTTTTTTTCTGTATGCAAATGTGAGATACTTTTTCTGAGTTCGTCTATTGAGATTGCTCTCATTTGAACCCAAATACACTATTGACTCTAAATATCGCATTAGATCAAATGTGTCAGGTGGGAATGCAACCAGCTCATCACAAACAGGCACCCTCCACACCTTCTAGTAAAGATGTTTAAAAAAAGAAATTATGCTTTAAAACTCTAGAAAAAAATGTTTAATTTAAAAAATGCATAAATTAGTGGCATCCTTATAAGAAGAGAGCTTTTAAAAATATATAAATTGAGGCAAAAACTAAATTTTACTTTTTTTTTTTACCTGTAAACGTATAATATTACTAAAGTAAAGGTGTTCAGTCGGTACTTTGATTTAAACCTATGACTAAGATGGGGAGGATAGAACACAAAACATAAAACAGCATCACTGCAATGACTGTAAATAAAATAAATAAAGACATATTGGTCTGGTTAAGCTTTTTGATTAACAACATTACTGTGTTGGTGAATATTAAGAGGAATTAAAGGTTATTCAATGATACCCACAGATTCAGGGAAAACAATTTTATCATCAAAAGACTTAGGAAAAAATATGCAGATAACAGACACTTAAAGTGAGAGCATATGGAAAGTTTACATTCCAAACAATCATAAATATGAATTTCTTTTTCCTATTTATCATTTTCTGTGAAAGAAAGTAGATTTAATATAAATAGTACTGTTATGAACAGCATTGCGAAGCTACTTGAAAAACATGTTCATTAAACATTTCTTCTAAAAAAAACAGTTTAAAGTGAGTCAGCAGAAGCCAGCAATGAAAAAGTCTTAAAAGCATTTATGCTTCTAAGGTAAAATTTGAATCTGAAGGGAATAAACAACATTTATAACCAGAAATATAGATACACTATATTGCCAAAAGTATTTGCTCACCTGCCTTGACTCACATATGAGCTTAAGTGACATCCCGTTCCTAATCCATAGGGTTCAATATGACGTCGGTCCACCCTTTGCAGCTAGAACAGCTTCAACTCTTCTGGGAAGGCTGTCCACAAGGTTTAGGAGTGTGTTTATGGGAATTTTTGACCATTCTTCCAGAAGCGCATTTGTGAGGTCGCACACTGATGTTGGACGAGAAGGCCTCGCTCTCAGTCTCCGCTCTAATTCATCCCAAAGGTGTTCTATCGGGTTGAGGTCAGGACTCTGTGCAGGCCAGTCAAGTTCATCCACACCAGACTCTGTCATCCATGTCTTTATGGACCTTGCTTTGTGCACTGGTGCACAGTCATGTTGGAAGAGGAAGGGGCCAGCTCCAAACTGTTCCCACAAAGTTGGGAGCATGGAATTGTCCAAAATGTCTTGGTATGCTGAAGCATTCAGAGTTCCTTTCACTGGAACTAAGGGGCCAAGCCCAGCTCCTGAAAAACAACCCCACACCATAATCCCCCCTCCACCAAACTTTACACTTGGCACAATGCAGTCAGACAAGTACCGTTCTCCTGGCAACCGCCAAACCCAGACCCGTCCATCAGATTGCCAGATGGAGAAGCGCGATTCGTCACTCCAGAGAACGCGTCTCCACTGCTCTAGAGTCCAGTGGCGGCGTGCTTTACACCACCGCTCCCGACGCTTTGCATTGCACTTGGTGATGTATGGCTTGGATGCAGCTGCTCGACCATGGAAACCCATTCCATGAAGCTCTCTGCGCACTGTTCTTGAGCTAATCTGAAGGCCACATGAAGTTTGGAGGTCTGTAGTGATTGACTCTGCAGAAAGTTGGCGACCTCTTCGCACTATGCGCGTCAGAATCCGCTGACCCCGCTCCGTCAGTTTACGTGGCCTACCACTTCGTGGCTGAGTTGCTGTCGTTCCCAAACACTTCCATTTTCTTATAATACAGCTGACAGTTGACTGTGGAATATTTAGGAGCGAGGAAATTTCACGACTGGATTTGTTGCACAGGTGGCATCCTATCACAGTTCCACGCTGGAATTCACTGAGCTCCTGAGAGCGACCCATTCTTTCACAAATGTTTGTAAAAACAGTCTGCATGCCTAGGTGCTTGAATTTATACACCTGTGGCCATGGAAGTGATTGGAACACCTGATTCCAATAATTTGGATGGGTGAGCAAATACTTTTGGCAATATAGTGTATATGAGTCTGAAAAAATGCTATTTAGTACCTAGTATAAACCTTGGGGGTAACTTTTAAAGCATAAAACCTGGAGAGTATAATGATGTTTTTTGGCTCAAGAGAATCTACTTTGATGCTTCTACCTGCACTCTGAATCAATTCAGATGATGAAAGAGGACAGCAAGCACATAATTCAAAGGAAGTGAAGCTTTTAAAGAGGCTTATGGCAAAACATCGCAGAGAAAGATTTTGCTTGCAGATTTGAAAATAAAAAAATAAGTTCACAACCTCTTGAGCAGTAATGCAAAGTGAGGATCTTTTGTGTTTGCGTCTGGCCTTTTTTTCATAAATATTTATTCGGCAGGTGAATTTAAAAGCTCACCAAGTGGCTTATACTGTATATGTATTTATATTTTATAAAATTAGGGTCATTTTTCACACAGCTTGCACAATTTAGATCTGCATTTAAAGAAATATGTGTGAAAATGAACGAAGCTTTACCCCTATAACTATCTGTGTCATATTTTAAAGCTGTGAAACAAATTTCAGGTCACTTAAACAAGACACTCCTCAATAAGCTGGTCTCCATTTTACAAGCAAAATAAATCAGCACAAGTGAAAAATATTGGTTTGTTCTTAGAGTTAGGCTATACGAGCTATTGCTGAGCAAAAGAAAGACAGCAAGGCCCCAAAAGGGGAAACGAATACAGATTTAAAAACACACTCTCATAGACGGATGATGGCCATCATTATCACATAATATTCCATTCCAATGCACAATTTTAGGAGCAAGCGGAAGAAAACGGTTTGATTAAATATGAGCAGCTGCAAATACTCACCGCAGGGTCAGAGTCATTGGCCATCACTGTGGTTACAATGGTTCCCTTGACGGCATTAGGTGCAACCATGCCTCTGTACACCGGCTGGCTGAATGCTGGAAAGAAATCATTCATGTCCTAGAAAATGATCCAAGAAAAATAAAATGGGAATGTCAGCAAACTATGCCTGAAAAGTTGCAGATGTTAATATTAGAAATAGCATTGATATAAAGTGTAACTGCTTAATCTGTTTATTTTTTTAACAGGTTTATTTTTTAAATTGTGTTGGTTTGCCTTTAGATCTCTATGGTAAATAAACCATAAACTTGCTGGGGAGTGGTGGTCCAGTGGTTAGGGCATAGAGCTTGAAATCCTGAGGTTCTGAGTTCAAGCCCCACTCCCACAGATTGCCACTCTGGGTCCCTAAGCAAGACCCTTGACCTCATACTGCCCCCCGGGCGCCCCACAATGGCAGCCCAACTGCTTCCCAAAGGGCATGAGTTAAATGAAGACGCAACTTTGCCCAATGTGAGATCAATAGAGTTCAATTATTTTTTTTCTTAGTATTATTTGCTAAAATTAAAGCAGTATCATGGAATTTATTAAAATAAAACCATTTTTCATTAAACATAAATCATAAAGTAGAACATGCCTTTATCAGTCAAAAAAATAATACTCCACATCACTCTGAACGCACCATCATGCCTCCTCCAAGAAATGAAACACGGAAGAACAGCTTGGAGCTAAAGCAGACAAATATGAAAGTATGACACTAGTTTCCTCCGAGGAAGTTTCTTTTGACTGCAAATGTGCTGCATTGTCACTCAGACCTGTTCAAACAAATGTAAATCAGCAGTGAGAAGTCTGAGAAAGACCACCTGTGTCTATTACCGGTATATTAGCAACAGATATGTACGCTGGTGGCTCAGTAGGTGCTCAATGTTTTTGACCCACTAATTAGTCCAGGTCTCTGCAGATTTACTATCTTTCAAACACCTTTTATCTCAGGTGGAAACTGTTAGTACTCAAATATGCGCTTAAAAATTGCAAAGTTACTTTGTAAAATTAAACTATGCACTTAATTTAGCTGGAAATGTAACCTTTTTAGATATTAATGAAAAAACAATTGAAAAAAGAGGTTTTGATGCGCTCTGCACATTTGACTACAGAAATGTACTTAATTTAAAATGAATTTATATTCTTTATTAGTTTTGGTTGACCAATAGATCTTTATGTCATGTTCTAACTCAGTCATGATACTCAGGATTATAGTGTATTATCTTTGTACTGTGAGGTTAAACAGAAATTTAATGCGGGATGCCCCAAAAAGTCAACATTTTGAGTTGGAGAGTGGAGATATGAAGATCTTCACTGGAAAAGGGATTTTACTTTTATCAACAGTAGCTCAACTTTCTTACTTTGACTGTAGCAGTTCTTTAAGATATATATATTATAAAGCTATGCTGACCATCCGTGCAGCCAAATTACAGCATTTTAGCATCCACACTTCTCCGAGCGGATTCCACATGGCCTGATTTCCCAAGTTTAAGACCCTAAAAATATATTTGGACTGATTGCAGCTACTGTCTTCCTTTTAGCCTTAGATCATCAAACCAGATGCTTCTGGTGATCCTCACAAAGGCTCCAAGGCTCTGGAACTACTTGCTCTTTTTAAAAATCTTAAGATGTATTTAGCTAGACTAGCTTTTGCTTAGTAAGTTGCTTTTATCTCTTCTTTTATTGTTGTGAAACATTTTGTGATTTTTATTTCTGAGTACCGACTTGCTAAAAGCACATTTTCAACATAGGAAAGGTTAAAGCTATCTATGTTCTTTACTTCATTTCTGTTAAGAAATTGTAATACACTTTACTGTAATGTGGTTGTCCTTCATAAAAAATATGTATAATTTGATAAAAAAAAAAAAAAAAAACCTTGAAAAGCAGCTGAAACATTTGCTATGGTCTTACACTGGGATTGTGCTAAAGGAAATCTTATGAACTCAGACCCTTGATATGCAAATAAACTGTAATTCATCCACTTTGCTGTGTTTTTGTTTAATTGGCCTTACAGGTGAGCAGCAGCAAATAGGAAATCGTGTTTATGATGAATATGTCCTTATTCTAAAGTCCCAAAGCGTTCAATTCAAATAGCAATTCTATCTACTATATAGATAAAACTATTCGTTTATAAATGTTGTATAAAAAAATACATGACCTTCTTTCCCTCAGTATCAAATAACAATAAACTTTTCTGTAAAACATCACTGAGAATTACATAGAATATTTGTATCTGAAAAGATTTTCTTAAACTTGTTTAAAAAATTGATTTTCACCCATTAAGAATAAAATGTATTTCTAAAATTCTAAAAAGCCCATAAGATGAAGTCAAAGTTGTTGGAAGCTTTTGAGGATTTTATATTTTTATATTCTTAAGGCTACAGCTAAAACACACATTTTGCAATCAGTGAATATCAAAAAATGATAGAATTTATTAAAAATATATAAGCACGGTTCCTTTGCTTCAATCCTAAACCCCTGCTATAAATACTCTGGACTCCCTCTACAGAGGGAAATTTGAACTATCGTCTTTGGAATTAGACTTAGACACAGACTTTATCATTTCGTACAGTGTATACAAAACAAAATTTTATTCAGTACAGCTCTCAGACATTTTTCATTTTTTAAAGTGCAGCCGTGATAAAGGTAAGAGATAATATAAACATACGAGTGTATATTCGAACATTCAGGGTTTTTTTAATTTTTATTTGTATATTTAATTAAATATACAAGACATTTATATGTTGCCCTTCCTGGCATTATTTTGGTTTTCAGCACAAGTAGCAAGAATGTTAGAATGTGACAAGATTATGTACTTTAAAAACACATAAAATAGTTTCTTATCATCAAGGTGTCCTTCCATCAAACTAACAGAATAATCTAAAATGCCTCAGTAGGAGCTTTACCCAAAACTGAACATTTTAGTCTGAAACAAATTAAAAGAAAAGATTTCCATCGTTCCAATGGCTCACTTTCCTTATTTTTAGTCATAGGAGTGTTTAAAACAGCAAAGGAAGCAGAGCGTTCAGTTATCGGACTCCTGTCTGTTGGAACCAGCCTCCACCCCTAATTAGAAAAACAGATCAGTGTCTACTTTGCCCAGTGGTTTCTACAGGATGGGGGAATGCAGTGAAGTCAAGATCAAATGAAATCTGCTGGTTTCCTGTGATCTTTTTTTTTTTTTATTTACTAATTGGTCTGAACTTTTATTTTTAAAATGAAATGAAAGTTTGCCCTTACTGGACTCTGAATGGAAAATGACAGTGAGTTTGTCTGAAACCAATGAGATTAGATTGTCCCTTTTATTTTAATGGAAATATTTCCAACGTTATCATTGTTTTGTCTCAATATAGATAAAATGAATGGACTTTCTTAATAATGCTTTATGAAAAAGTGTTACGGGTAATAAGACATAGATATTTGAATGTATTTCAATTTGGTCAAAAAAATTTAAAGAAAAATAAATTCACTGCTTGTTTTCATCTTTACCTAAAATATATACCTAAAAAACTTGGTATGCAGTTTATACTAAACCCCTTAATCAATATTTTTTCAGAATACCTTTTGTTGCAAACAAAACAGAAACAGAAATATTACATTAAAAAAAGAAGTACAATTTACTTAGATATAGTAACTTTTTAAACATAGAAAAAATTTTACTCAATAAAATCTAAGTGCATTTTACTTACTAAGATGAGCAGAGTTAACAAACTCAAATAAATTTTGCTTATCAACAAAACATGTACTTTCCTAGTTTCCTAGTAAATGTTACTCAACTCATATTGTATCCAATTCCAAAGCTTAAGTAAATAGAAATAATTTTTCTTTGCTTGATTTTTATTCAATGATTAAGTCGTTTTACTCAACTGATCTAAATCTTAAGGGTTTATTATTTTCATTTTTTTCATTTTCATTATACACAATTCATTCAATACAATTAAATAAACTAAAAAGTAATCCGATTATTCCAGAACGGTTGTAGTGGTGCAGGTTAAATGCATACCCATTTTAGTATAGAATGCAAAAATAGTCCACTTATTTGCCTTAATAACCTACTTGGTAGCTTTGGATTTATGTTTTGCCTCATAGTAAATCTGTGTTAGAAAACTTTGACCAGTCTGTTTGATTGTATTTGGCTGGATTTCACCTCACAGTATGTCTAAGAATACCTCAGAATTTATGCAGCTGCTTCTGTTCTGTGTCCCATCATCAATGAACACTAGTGAGCCAGTGCCACTAGTGTTAATTTTGTTGAAGAGGAGCAGTGGCCTGTGCCGTATGGTGAACCCTCTTTATTTACTTTTATCCAGTCTTCTCTGTATAGCAGATCTGGATATTGACAGATGGCTGTTGTGATGGAAATTACCTTTAATAGGGTTAAGTTTATGAACATTTGTGCTGATATTAATTCTCGATAATATTGCTCTAACAGCCAATAAGTGATATTTACTGATACTGTTTACTAAATACATCCATACGATTTTGACACCATGAAAAAAACAAAATGCAGACACGTTCTCTCTGGTTCAGATAAACACCTGTAATTCTTTGCCACATCGCCATTACTTCCCCTGTGACAAAAACAAGCACCACATAACTAATATGCTCCCCTCCCCCTGCTGAAAAAGAAACTGGATGGAAATATATGAGCCCAGTTTATTGGACCGATACCAATAACTTTCAAAATGACTAACATTCGTCGATACTGATGTCTAATGCCGATATATCATGCACCTCTACCCTTTACCAAAGACATTATTCTGCTGTCATCCACCACTATGGTTTTCTGTGGGAGTCCAGGCATTTTTGCACCAATGTGTCAATGCAAAAATAAAGTATATGTGTTCCCCTCTTGATCAAGATGAACCAAGATGACACTCCTAAGATTGTAGTACTGTACTGTAATTTCTTGGATGTTGTTTTTTACTCTTTTGGTAGCTTTTTTTCACCTGCATGGGGTGTTTTGTTGCCCGCATGCTTTCTTCAAAACAAATTCCTTCGAATGCATACCTCAAAACATGTTTAGGCCTTTTATCTGCCTAATTAAAGGTGGCATAACAAATACATTTGTCATAAAATAGCCAATTATCCATCTTCAAGAGCTGAAAGTCATACACTCTCAAACATCTTAGTCCAACTGAATATGTTTCAGCAAGAAGAGAAGAAAACAAAATTTTTCGGTGTGAAAATAGATTGGACCTGACTGTAGGTCTTTCTAGCATGTACAGGGATGACATTTTGAGAAATAAGGTAAAATACCATAGATATATCAAGATGTTTGATGTTGAAGAATGACCAAATGCAAACTACCGGTAGTATAAGGGCTCTAAATATTTAGGCTTTGTAAATTCTACTTTACCTTTAAACTTTCTTTTGTCTAATCTTTTAGAACTTACTTGCTCTTTTGTGCTTTTTTTGTGCTTCAGAAAAACCAAACTAGAAACCCCAACCAAACACTCACACACACACACTTACACACTCACCAATATTCTAACAGTAACCAGGGCAAGCCCAGGAGGCATGGTTCCCTCCACGTCGACAGCCTCCACGGTGAAAGTGTATGATGGTTCCGAAGCGGCCAGAGCTTCAAAATCCAGAACGTTGAGAACAGACAGCTCCCCCGTCACAGGGTCAATGTGAAAAAGTCGTTTTACATCTGGATCCAGGCTTTCGGCTCTGATTCGATATGTGATGTTTGAGATGAGGTCAGCATCTGTTGCCTTGAAAAAAATAATACAATAAAAAAGGTTTAATCACTGCTGTGTGGTGTAAATGTTTTTTATGTTTTGGCAAGAAAGATTTCAAAACAGTGCTTTCATTGAGCTCTGTGTTGAGGTGGACTATTCAAAGCGCCTGTGGCAGTAACCTTTAATGTTCTGGTTATCCACCGATGTTCCATGTCATATTTCTTTTTTATTTTTTCTGCTTTGCAGGTATTTAAATGGGTCTGCTTTAGGGAATCCTGCCCTTTTCAATTTTCTATCCCTCAACAACTCTTGCAATAATTTTGACTTTATGACATTTCCAGTGCTACCTGGAATATGAAATGTAAGCACTTTGGTGATCTCAAAGAAAATTTAGGTGAGTGACTCTAAGTAACAATATTATGAGTTCTTTGGAATAGATTTATGACTTGGAGGGTTTGGAGTGAGTCAGAACATTAATCTTCAGTCGCTTTATTTTTTTATATCAAGCAGCAATAAATGTTTGTTTTGGACTGTTTTAAGTGGAAGTAAAACAGCAGTAAAAAATTGAACCAAATGATATATTTAGAAAATGTACAACAAGCCTATTTCAAGATGAAATATTGCTTCTACAAAGTATGGTGCTTTATGCCCTTATCAAAAAAGTAAAGGGAACACACAAATAACACATTCTAGATCTGAATGAATGGAGTATTCTCATTGAATACTTTGTTCTCTAAAAAGTTAAATGTGCTGACAACAAAATCACACAGAAATTCTCAATGGAAATCAAACCTCCACGTTCCTGTATAACATTTCTACAACTCCTGGGCATACTTCTGATGAGGTGGTGGATGGTCTACTGAGGGATTTCCTCCCACACCGGAACTTAAACAATCAGCTAACTGCTGGACAGTCTATGGTACAATGTGACATGGGTGGATCGGATGAGGCATGATGTCTCAGATATGCTCATTTGGACTGAGGTTAGGGGAACGGGCATGGTACACTGCATATCTTCATTGCCTTCATCTTGCAGAAAGTGCTGACACACTCCAGCCACATGAGATCTTGTATTGTCCTGAATTAGGAGGAACCCATGGTCAAAAGCACCAGCATATGGTTTCACAAGGGGTCTGAGGATATTATCTCGGTACCTAATGGCAGTCATGCTACCACTGATGAGAACATGGAGGGCTGTTTGGCCTCCTAGGAAATGCCTAAGGTTCTGTTGCTGGGTTGTTGCCCTCCTACGGACTCCTACACATCTGCTGTACTGGCCTGTCTGTAGCGCCTCCAGACTCTGACAGACACAGAAATATTTTTGCCACAGCTCACATTGACATGGCATTCTGGATGACCTGCACTACCAGAGCCACTTGTGTTGGTTGTAGAGTCCGTCTTATTGCTACCACGAGTGTGAAAATATACTGTTGTATTAAACTTATAGGTGCAAAATAATTAATTTATCTCCTGAAACCATGTACTCCTTCAGACAGATTGCGTAGCCCAGCAATTAACTGTTCTTAAAAGTATATGCCTTTTTGTTTTCATATCATTCATATATGTTTTACCATTTGAATTATATGATAATAAATAATATCTTCTATTCTTATTCATTGAGGTGAACTTTACATAGACGATGGAATTTCCAAGCTTAGCCAAAGACTCACCTTTAATTGTAATATGACAGTGTCCTTTGGGCTATTTTCAGGTAGATTGACATTATAAGACTGTTGAGAGAATATTGGGCTGTTGTCATCCACATCCAAAACGGTCACAGAGAGGGTAAGTCTGGATCGCCGAGGGTCCACTGCACCATCTGATGCTTCAACAATCAGGATATAGTGGCCTTTCACCTTCATGGTAAGAGAGTCATAAGGAAAAGAGTAGAACAGGGTAGTATCTTGAAAATCATTGCAATTATTTCTGGATGAGATTTATCCTGTATAAATCAAATAAATAAAAATAGAAAATGAAATGCAGATACTTAAAGGGATAGTTCGCTATTTTTGACATGAATCTGTATGGCATCCCGATCACCAGCGGCATGCAATCACACTGACTTACCCCTGGCAGCGTCCTGTGAGCAGAGTTATCGTCCAGTTTTGGTCAAGCCGAAAGTAGTCCTGCAGGTTTTTAGGAACAGCGAAATAAAACTTTTCTCTTCCCAAAACATTATGTGTCCAAAAGAGTGATATTTTCGCATCCCAAAAACATTGTAGTGGAAAAAGTCACACGTCGTTATCAATTGGTCCTATTTTCCACTACAATGTTTTTGGGATGCGAAAATATCACTCTTTTGGACACATAATGTTTTGGGAAGAGAAACGTTTTATTTCGCTGTACCTAAAAACCTGCAGGACTACTTTCGGCTTGACCAAAACTGGACGATAACTCTGCTCACAGGACGCTGCCAGGGGTAAGTCAGTGTGATTGCATGCCGCTGGTGATCGGGATGCCATACAGATTCATGTCAAAAATACCGAACTATCCCTTTAACATTGCTAATTACATATTTGCCACCAATAATGTTGAATAAATTATTTCAATAAATCTGCGACAGCCGCTGACCTCTCTGTCCAGAGGTGCTGCAGTCCTGATGGCTCCAGTGGCATTGATGGAAAACAGCGTCTGGTGGTTCACAAGCCTATAGTGGACTTGGCCACTTGCTCCCAGATCTGGATCTGTTGCCTAAAGCAAGTTACAGGAAAAAAAGAAACAAAAAGTTGCAAAGAAAACAAAAAGAAAAAAGTTAGTAATAGAAGAAAATAACAACTTTGAATGCTCTTTTACTTGATCAAGATAAAAGATGTGTTCTTAATTACATCAATCCAATTTTCTAAGCTTAGTTTAAAAGTCCAAATGTTAGTACGAAACGATTTTATAACTGAAAAGAAAAAAAATCTGTTTAGATTTCATTAAAATTAGTAAATTTCTATCAGATTTTTTCAAGCTTTTTAATGTCATTACACTGTCACAAGTACGGAGCAATGAAATTAACTCTCTGCATTTAACCCATCCCCTTGTGGAGCCATGGGCTGCCACTGCGCAGCACCCGGGGAGCAATCTGGGGTTAAGGTTCTTGCTCAGAGAGCCAGAGTGTTAGTCTGAGGGAATGGATTTCAAACTCACAACCTCAGGATTCTAAGCTCTACGCCCTAAACACTAGGGCACTCCCCACATTTTTCCCATGCAATTTTTTTTTTAAAATAGACTGCAAAACAAACCCAAAGCCTCATTGAACTGAGTTCCAGCTGCTATTTTAATGAAATCTTTTACCATGTTTTACAAACATAGAGACATAAGATAAATGTTTTCTTCCTGATAATGATCCCAAAAAGGTTTCCCTTTGATGAAGTTGACACAATTAGTAATATGTTTCTTTACAATAAGAAAATATCCAACTTCTGTGAGGTCAGTCACATCCTTGCTGCAATTAACTTCAGTAACTAGAACTTCATCAAACCTGTCTTGACTTTCATTTGTCTTCTGTTTATTACATTATAAAGCTAGAAAACAGCTATCTCAAATTCTTCTAACTTTTATTTATTGTTGCCTTCGCTCTTAGTGGGAGTTAATTATTTAGATCTTCAGAGTGTTGCACAGATGATATAATGAGACTCAAGCTGCTGCTAATTGTTAAAATTAGGTTTGAGGAGTCAGAGGGTTTAAAGTTTTGTAAATATGTGCTACGTAGCCTTTCATAGTGATAACAGAATGTGCTGCTGCCTTTAAAATGCTATTTAAAGCGTAAGATCTTGGTAAAACTTGTGTTAGCTCCAGTTCGTACTTTAAAAGTTTTTTTTTTTTCTCTTTTACTTTCAATTTCGACTTAAAATTAGTTATAGGAAAAACCTTATTAAGGATTTAAAATGCTCTGGTTATTTTATTTCAAGTTTTTTTTTCCAGCTCATCCATGTAAATATTCAAACTTGTACAGTTTTGGTCAGAAGTGTACAGACACGTTATAGGGGAGTTGTGGCCTAGTAGTTAGGACATTGTGCTTGGAATCCAGACTTTCTGAGCTCAAGTCCCACTTCCACAGACTGCCACTCTGGGTCTCTGAGCAAGACTCAGACCCCTGCAAGACCCTTGCTCAGTGGCAGTTAAGGGTCTTGCTCTTGCTGCTCTTGCCAACCCCACACTGCTCCCCGTGCACCACACAATGCAGCTCACTGCTCCCCAAGTGGATGGGTTAAATGCAGGGACTTAATTTCATTGCTCTGTTCCTGTGACAATGTAATGACAATAAAAGTAAAAAAAAAAGGAACAAATAACAAGAGGTAAAATGATGGGCAGTGGTGTCCGATTTTGAGCTTTTTAAGTGTTAATTCTGCCAAGAAAGGCTGAATGTTGTACTCTTCACTGACTAATTAACAATTTTAGTATTTTCTATGTAATAAATGTATTAGACATTGTCGTACAAAACACCAAAATCATGTCTAAAATGATGCAGGTTTGCCACATCAGGCAAAAGTAGCATAAATTGAGAATTAACTAAACACATTTTCCTGTCTCATTGCCCAGATCATTTTGTTGACACTAAAATTGCTTCTCAGGGCTCTGAAATTAAATTATTTTGCATACTTCTGGTCTATCTTGTTTTATTCTAAATTAATCTTGAAACTATAAAATCAGAACTGGATGTAATCCTATCAGCCACTAAATATCAGCAAATCAAAATAAAATTCTAAGGTATTCTGAAATTCTAATGTTAGCCTGTTTGACCATTTCCCATTATTTTTCCATTTAGCTCATGGTTTTGGGTGACTTAAAATTATTTTTAAATATTCCTCAAATTTGATGCACTGTGCTATGATGCAACTCTGGCAGCGAAAGACTTTCTAAGCAGAATGATAACTAGTATCTGACTGTTCAATAGGTGCACTTGTGTTCAAGTCCTCACCATAACCAATTCCAACTTTGGTTCAACATGGCCAATTAGTGAAAATCTTGTCCCTTCTTAGTGTAAAGTGTACCCTACACATATTAATTATAGGTAAGGCACAATAAACCACAGTTTGCAGCCAATTCTTGTTAAAGTTGGTTCAAGTTCAACAAGTTTGTTGTCTAGAATCAATCCTCCTTGAGAAAAGGAGGTACAGCAGGTACATCCTTTAGATATATTTTCAATATGAAATATAATGAGCGTTTATAAACATATGATCTCAACGATTGCCAGTTAAAACCTGTTGTATATGCAAGCTACTGTGATAGAAAAACATCCGTTGACATTTGCAGTACTACCTTTACTGTTTTGACCCCAATCTCTTAAGTCTGCCATTCAGTGATAAGCCTACTTTGCATATGGAGCTTTTTTTTATGTGTCTCGTAAGGTTAATGTAGACAAGAAAAACTAATTAAATATTTACTTCCTAAAAGAAAAAAGTCAGGATGCAGCTGGTAGAGGTCTTATTGTAGATAGGCTGGTGGGTGCTTAGAGGAGAGGGATCATTATGTGCCCATAGATTCTGCTTCTGTTTAGTAATGCAGAACACACCCGCTCAACTGACCTAGCCTGGAGGAGCGGGCAAATGCATGCAACCAATAAAATGTGTTTTATTCGTATCCTTTAGATTATTCATTTTATTCAAATGGGTAATAAGGATACAGTTACGGCTTTACAACTTCCTATTCAAACTTTATTTTACTGTCCACCTGGAAAAATGCAAATAAAAACATGTTAGCCAAGAAAATACTATATTATCCAAAATGATGCAGGTTTTACTACATCTCATATATATTATACTTTAGGTCTTATTTTCTATCTTCTTGTTCTTCATTTTATATTAAATGAGGTTCGCTCTTTTTGAATGAATACATTTTTTTTATTAGTTTTACTGCCACATATAAATAAACATCTGCAATCAGAGATCAATATTTTGTGACCTGACTGATAAAGTTTACACACTTAACAAGTTGATATCACAACTGTGTATTACTTGTACCAGCTTTATAATGCATCCCCCTGCAAACACATAGTGTTTTGTCTTTAGTCAGACAAAACTTTAAAACCAGTGCTCTATAAAATATCTTTGCTCCTCTCTATTCTGATTATTTCCCTTTTTTCCTAGAGGATCAGGAGTTATTTCACAGCAAAAGCTAAATTTGCAAAAAGTTAATGAGGCAGTACTTTCAATTTTAACATGATAAAAAAAGGGTATGGCAAAATGTCCTTTCCCTTTTGTTGCACTCCTACAATCAGACTATCCTTCTGTATCTATTCTGCAGTCAAACCAAGATTTCCTCTGAACATAGCACTTTTCAACTTGTAAAATAAGGTGGGGAGAAAGTGACAAATTACTAGCCTGTGTTCCTCTCCCCCTCGTTGAATGTTCATCCTGTGCAATCAGCACTCTGGCAGCATTTAAATGGATAGGACCACAGGAAAGGACACATTAACATGGTCTAGTGTGGTTTTGTGTGCATGGCTACTTCAGGCTTTAGTCACACCAAGTATTTCAAGAGTTAAAAAATAATTGCCTTACTTGCTTTTAACTAAAGAACAGTATATACATACAGTACGTACATGAATATGTGTCTTTAAGGACCTATTCGAGCTGTAGGTTGTAGGAGACTGAGATTTGTCCTTGCAGTCTAAATCTAATTCAAAGGGCTCTTTGATGGTTAAGATGTGGATTCAGGGGCTGGGGGATCTTTTGTCTGTAAAAATCCTGTCCATTATTGCTTTTAATACCTTCAAAGCAATAGGAGATTTTCATGACGATCTTCAATCAACCAATGTTTAGATTATTTGGGCAGCATTATGATATTCAAAACAAAGGAAAACACATAAGGCAGAGGGCAACTTTCATCATCACACACTGGAATTAAAGCAAACTTTCTGCATCTGATACCTCTGAGAACCCTTTGGCAAAGGCGTGGGGACTAAAAAAGAAATGCCATCTGGGTACACTTAAAAAGTAAATAAAGATAAATAAAACATGCAAGGATATCTTTATAAACTGAATGTAGAATGAATTATAAGCAATGCAATTTCATATTGTAGAGATAGAACACCTAAAAAGCAAACAGTTTTTTCTTTTTTGTAGTTTTTTTTTGGGTGTAAACAGGTAAAGAAGAATGATTTTTCTCTTATACTAATAGGATATTCTTCCCTTGAAACTTACAAAGTACCAACCCAAACTGAAGAAAGAAGACTGTTTTATCTGTGGGTGCAAAGTGTGAGAATTATTTATTTATTTTTGTTTGCTTTCTCTGTATATTAAAATACTCTACTTACATGTAGATTACACAAATAAAAAAACCAGCTTCAGAGAGCTATTAAAAATGTTTAGGTTTGTTCTTACTCATTTACTTATCTCATCACTTAAAACAAAAAAACATTTCATTAACAGCAAGTATGATTTTTTCATACAGTTGTAGCCCTAATTGCAAATCACCGATTGATGAGGTTTGGGTCTGCAGTGTTAACATGTAAAAATAAATCCAACTTTATCAGTTGTTTTATACCCCCATTCTCCAAAGGGTTCTAAAATACTCAATATATACTGGCAAAATGCACTGCCAGTTTTATAACTAAAGGTAAACAGTAGCTTAAATTGATAATTTATTATGTCATTTCTCACTATTGCTATTACATAGATAATTACTGTGACCTTCCAGCTCAATACTTTGCAAAGAAGCACATACACCTGTGATTTAAAGAGCTTTCAATTTTGCAGGTCGCA